CTGAATTCAGTAAAGTAGCAGAATACAAAAATCAATATATAAAAATCTGTTTTGTCTTTATAACTGACAACAAACTATCAGAAAGAGAAATTAAGAAAATAATCCTATTTATAACTGCATCAAAAAGAATAATATACCTAAAAGTAAATTTAACCAAGGAGATGAAAGACCTATGCGCTGAAAACCACAAGACAGTGATGAAAGACGCTGAAGAGGACACAAATAGATGGAAAGATCTTCTGTGCTTATGAATTGGAAGAATAGTGTTAAAATGCCAATATTACTCAAACTAATCTACAGATTCCATGCAATCCCTATCAAAATCCCAATGATATTTTTCACAGAAATTGTTTCTGTGAATAATCCTAAAATGTGTATAGAACCACCAAAGAGCCTGAACAGCCAAAGCAATCTTGAGAAAGGCTACAGCTAGAGGCATCACACTGCCTGACTATAAACTATATTACAAACCTATAATCATCAAACCAGTATGGTATTGGCGTAAAAACAGACACAGAGATTAATACTGTTGATCTGTACTACTGCATAGAGAGTCCAGAAATAAACCCAGGCACATACGGTCAATTTATGACAAAATATAGAAAGGACTTGTGCAACTCAATAAAGAAAAAAAATCAATCTGATAAAAACGGGCAATTTTCCCAAAGAAGACATACGGATGGCCAACAGGTACATGAAAAGATACTCAACATCACTAATCATCAGGGAAATGCAAATCAAAACCACAATGAGATACCCCCCATACCTGTCAGAATGGCTATTATCAAAAAGACAAGAAATAACAAGTACTCGTGAGGATGTACAGAAAAGGGAACCTTAGTGCACTGCTGGTGGGAATGTAAATTGGTACAGCCACTATGGAAAACAGCATGGAGGATCCTCAAAAGACTAAAATAGAACTACCAGCAATTCCCCTTCTGGGTATTTATCGGAAAACACAAAACAAAACAAAAACAGTAATTAGAAAAGATATGCACGCTCATGTTCACTGTAGCACTATTCACAATAGCTAAGATATGGAAACAACCAGTGTCCATCCGTGGATGAATGGATAAAGAAAGTGTGGTTATATTCACACAATGGAATACTCTTCAGCCATAACAAAGAATGAAGTCTTGCCATTTGTGTTAACACGAATGGACGTGGAGGGTATTATGCTAAGTGAAGTAAGTCAGAGAATGACAAATATCGTATGATTTCACTTATAGGTGGAATCTAAAAAGGAAAACAAACAAAACAAACCTCATAGATGCAGAGAACAGGCTGGTGGTTGCTAAAGGGGAGGGTGACTGGGTGGTGGGTGAACAGGGAGAAGAGGGTCAAGAGGTACAAACTTCCGGTCAGAAAATAGTAAGTCATGGGGATGTAATTACAGCACAACGACTATATTCAACAATACTGTATTGCATATTATGTAACTTTACATGGTGACAGGCAAAATTAGACTTATGTGGTCATCATTTCACAGTGTATACAAATATTGAATCATATTGTACACCTGAAACTGATGTAACGTTATATGTCAATTAGACCTCAATTTAAAAAAATAGTCATGGTTCATGATTTCGAGCCCCGCAATGGGCTCTGTGCTGACAGCTCAGAGCCAGGAGCCTGCTTGGAATTCTGTGTCTCACGCGCTCTCTGCCCCTCCCCCACTCATGCTCTTTCAAAAATAAACATTAAAAAGAAAAAAGTATTCCAAATCCAAGAAAATGTGAGACTTTAGTTTTATTATAATTTATTATAATGCTAATTTAGCTATTATTATATTTTCAGTGGTTTTTTTCCACTGAAAACTTTACTTATTCAGTTAGCAAAAACTAAAAATGCATACACCCTTTACAATGAAACAATCTGCAGGTCTGTTTGCTTTAAAAAAATTTTTTTTTAACGTTTATTTATTTTTGAGACAGAGACAGAGCATGAGCAGGTAAGGAGCAGAGAGCGAGGGAGACACAGAATCTGAAGCAGGCTCTAGGCTCTGAGCTGTCAGCACAGAGCCCGATGCGGGGCTCGAACTCACGGACTGCGAGATCATGACCTGAGCCAAAGTCGGACGCTTAACCGACTGAGCCACCCAGGCACCCCTGTTTATTTTGCTTTTAAATAAAATTCAATTTGTAAGCATGTAATTGTCTGAATAAATTATAATTCCGTATCTAATATAGTGAACATGGTAATTTAATAGGCAAACTGGAACTCAAATATATTTTTATATTCCTGAGCTAACAAACTGACATCAGTAGGAGATACTAAGAACGTAGTGATAGGCCCTTAACATTTCAGAAATTGACATTCGGGGTTTTAGTTATCTTTAAGTGCATGTAAAAGTCCTTAACATGGAAGTAATTTGCAATTTTACAAAGGCAACAATGCCGAGTTTTAGAGACATTAAAAAGTAAAACTCTAGGGGCGCCTGGGTGGCGCAGTCGGTTAAGCGTCCGACTTCAGCCAGGTCACGATCTCGCGGTCCGGGAGTTCGAGCCCCGCGTCGGGCTCTGGGCTGATGGCTCAGAGCCTGGAGCCTGTTTCCGATTCTGTGTCTCCCTCTCTCTCTGCCCCTACCCCGTTCATGCTCTGTCTCTCTCTGTCCCAAAAATAAATAAACGTTGAAAAAAATTAAAAAAAAAAAAAAAAAAAAAAGTAAAACTCTATACTGATACTACTCAGTTCTATGAGTCTACCCACCATGCATTGCAAATATAGAAGGCAGGAAATTCATGAGACTGTTTTAGTAATTGCTACAGCTAGAATTTATCTTATATATAGCTCTGAAAATAGTTTTAATCCTGAATATATACAAAGAAATGCTTAAATTTTCTGTTTTATTTTATTGCAATTCATGGGAGAAACCAAATACAGGGTGTAAATCCTCACCCTGCATTTATTTCCTGACTGATTTTGTGCTTCAATTTCCTATTCCCTAACTTACAGTGTTGTCATTAAGAACTCAAATTGAAATCAGGTAATAAGTCCAGTGCTTAAGATTTTTAAAAACATGTCATCAGGGGATTATTAAATGTTGGTGCTCAATAAATGGTAGCTACTGAAACGTCTATTATTAGTGGTGGTTTCGCAAGGAATCTGACGTAGAGACCTTTTCAGTGTTCTCCAATCATTCTGAGTCTGTTTCTCTTCGTTGAGAAATACATGCTTCTTTGGAGCTGTTCTTTGCTTTTTTTTGAGACAGAGAGAGAGCATGAGTGGAGGAGGGACAAAGGGAGAGAAAGAGAGCGAGAGAGAGAGAGAGAGAGAGACACTCGTAAACAGGCTCCATGCTCAGTGTAGAGCCCGACGTGGGGCTCGATCTCACGACCCTGGAATCATGACCTGAGCCAAAATCAAGAGTCAGATGCTTAACCCAATGAGTCACCCAGGCGCTCTTGAAGCTGTTCTTTAGAGTGCCTTGCACACTCTCTCCTAATGTCCTAAGGGATCGACTGCCTTGTTTCTATGCAGACAAGTCCCACACTTAAACTAAATGGAGAAAGCACTCGCAGATGGACCCGTGCTACACAATAATGCAAGACAGGGCCCAGAGGACAGAGGAACAGCAAAAATGAGACTGGCCGACAATCCAGACAGAATGGTGTACCTCCTCGGGAGGTACTAGAGCAGTCCACGTGGCTAGCCTCAGAGTATTTTGAATGACGTGTTCAATATAACAGGAAGTCCCATGGCTCAGTTTCACATAAAGAGACAGGTATCCTTTAGAGATTAGAAGACTAACAAGTATCTCCAGGTATAGAACAATTTACAATGAAAGATATGTAGGCAGGAACTACATACTGGTTCAACTCATCTACTTCAAATTAAACGATGGTGGGGCCAGCAGGGGTGGGAAACAAAGACAGTTTCTAGGAGGGACTCACATTCTCACTATCTCCCGTAGTAGGTCGTTTTTTAAATGGTGGTCAAAGAGGCAACCCTCTCTGCAAGTGAAAACCTAGTTTACCTTAGGAACTATTACTTTCTGTGTATTCCTGCCCACAATTCCCTTCTTTACATGGCTGAGTATTTCAATTTATGCCTTTACCAGAAACTGGGGAAGTCCCTGTGCCATCTCTGGCAGATGATAAAAACACACGGGTCAACGTCCTTTCAGCAATGTGATAAATTAAAGAGTTTGGGCTGTGGAGACATTCTATACGGATTTACCACACAGTACAAATTTTTTAAAATGACCAAATAAAGAACGTATTAGAAACAGGTATGTGTTTTTAACTATCTATCTACTGACACTAGCATAACTTCAATATAATTTATACTGAATGGGGGTGGGTGGGTAATATTTACTGTTTTGATTAACACCTGTAGCAAGAGCAACTTTTTACTGAACGGTTACTGTGTAGCTGGCTCTGTGCTTAATCCATTTCCTTTACTACTCACAACGACCTATGAAATATATTGTCCCCACTAAATAAAGTTAGGAAACTGCCTTAAGGTCCAAAGCTAATGAGTGACAGGGGGTGCCTGGGTGGCTCAGTTGGTTGAGTGTCTGACTCCGGCTCAGGTCATGATCTTGCAGTTGACGAGTTTGAGCCCCATGTCGGGCTCTGTGCTGACAGCTCAGAGCCTGGACCCTGCTTCGGATTCTGTGTCTCCCTCTCTCTCTGCCCCTCCCCTGTTCACACCCTGTCTCTCCCTCTCTCAAAAATAAACAAGCATTAAAAAAATTTTCAAAGCTAGTAAGTGACAAATCCCTAATTCATACCCAGAACCACCTGACCCTAAAGGACTATTCTCTCAACTGCTTTATAGTTCCTCTGATAAACAGCAACAAACATGAAGCAATCTGAAGAAACTAAATAGTCTTAAACAAATACAATACCAGCTCCTGCAAGCACTAAATGATCTTTGACAACTCAATACTCAAATTGGTTTTTATTTGCCAAATAGGAGTCACAGTTAAGTGGGAAGTTTCTTCTGGTAACGTTATTAGATCTAGTTAAAAGGTGGGTGTGGGGAGGGTCTCTTACCTGTGTTGCCATCTCCACTCTCCATAGACGGTTTACTGGTTTCTGACGGATTATTCATTCTTGAGTCTGCAATGAATCAGAGGTGAATGAGGTTTTTTAAAAATTGGGGATGTGGTTAGGGAGGCAAAAGTGTGGCAAAGGAAGGGTTTAAGAATACTGACTGATGTTACAGTCCTACAGTTCAAAGACAGGCAGTGTCATCACTAAAACATTGGAAATTATCGTGAAAGTTTATCTGAGAGAAATTCTGGACTTCCCTTAACCCTGATGCAATCCACAAATAAACTGTCTTTCTAAAGAATTTTAACATTCTTCTAACAAAGACAACAGACATCTAACTTGAAAAAAGTTATAATAGAATTTGACATGTAAAAGAAGTAAATATAATACAAAGCATAAAATACGTTAAAGAAACAAAGCTGGGGCAAAGTGCCTTACAAAGTAAAACACGTTATTCTCAAAATTTTCTTTTTCCATAAGCAAAGGTATTTGTTAATCAAACCAAAACAATCTGTTGGTAATCTTCATAACAGGCTGGCAGTAACTCAACCTAGCAGAATAAAAGGAAAAGGTGTCTAAGAAAAATATCTCCGTATTTACTCCCCATCCAGACAAACTAACCATGTGTTAAAGTAAGAATATGTCAAATTCATACCTCAATCATAAACCACTACAAGAAGCTGTATCACAAGGCGTAACAGATATATCTAACGATTTCAAAATTGAATCACAACCACACCCCTCTAAAAATTATACTACCTATCTGATATCACATATGAACCTGCTGACATGGGTTTATTTCCCTAAGGGTTATCTCTTTAATGAAGGTTTTCACAGTAGAAAGTTTTCAGCAAGCAATATTAGGTATCCCAGAACAGCTGCAAGACACAAGAACAAGTCTGCTTTTCTCCCGCCTTTTCAATAGAGTAAAAACCAAATATACATTTAATATATACCTTATTCTATTTCTACTGTAAACCCAAACTTTGCATATTTGTAATTAACTGAGTTTACTATCCAGCAAGTTCCCCCTTTTCCCCTACTGGGCTAAGAATCACTTAACTCTAATTATTAGGTGAGAATAAATAAATAATGTGATATTTGATTTTTTTTTTTTACTGAAAAGTACATTTTGTCATCCATTTCAATGTTTAACTAGGAAATCAAACAATCATCACAAGTCCCAACCATGCTGTCCACGGTTGCTTTATCCAAATGCGTAAGTGACGAGAAAGAACCAAGAGTCCTCCTGCCATAAATTTCATCTCCAGCCTGGAAGCCGTGTAATAGTTTTTCTAGTAAGTTTTTAAAACAGATGCTGGTCTTATGGTTTTAGGCAGTTCTAGCACATCTTTGGTTTTTCCCTCTGATGTGTGAAGGATTCAAATTCATATTCTGTGGTCATAAATGAGACTAGTTCTACAATTTCCTCACCCTTACTGTCCAGAAAAATTTAAATGTCACCAAAGGCATACTAGGGTTTGAAAGGAACAGGTGTACAACTTAGTGAAAATCAGCTTTCTGAATGACTTCAACAAAATCTTATGAAAGTCAGCAAAGATCACAACAAATGTTAACAAACCAAAATGCTTTCTTTAGAATGTATGTTTAAAAAAAGTGGAAAAATATGAACCAGTTAACATTCAGAAGAGGGTAACAATGTTTCCACGTATCTTTGTACAAAGAAGTAGGCATAATTCTTAACAAGTCAGGAACCTGTCCCTGTGCAATTCATACCCTAATTTCCACGTATCTAAATTAAAGATTATGTCACAGGTATTCTGTGTGAATCTTCGAAGCATCTTCTATTGAATTGTAAAGAGCTTCAAAGACATTTAACAAAACCACTTTACACATACACATACATATACAAATAAAATTCTGACTTAGCTGTACAACAATGTGAAGACTGTTCAAATGACAGTTACTGTTAATTACAAATAACAGAGGTACAACTTCTAATTCTAAAATACAATGCTAAAAATATTTCAAAAAGGCATTTTCCTTTCCTTCCTTGAGTTCCCAATTTAGCAGATTTTGTAAAAGAGTAAATACAAGTTCTTTTCTTGATATCTGAAGTTTTTTTTCTCTCTGGGCACACTGAGCTGTGCATGAGCCTAATAACAGTTTACAAACTGCTCTGCGATTGGACTGAATTCTTGACATCGGTTTTTTGTTTTAATTGTGGTTTTTATTGTGCTTTACAAATATTACTACTGCCTTGAGTTTGGGCCATTCCTTCTGCCTGAAAGTGTAAACATTGACAGAACTATCATTTAATTTTATCCTTAGCAACTGTGAAGGAGATGGGCAGGGGGTGGGGGTGGGGCTCAGTTTTTTAAGTGAGAAAAATGACATAGAGGGAAAAAAAAAATCACTTGCAAAGATTTTAAACCGTGAGTTATCAAAGTCCCGGAGTTCATGTCATCTGACTCTCCAGGTGACCAGAGTGACCCGAAGAGGTTTCAACAACTGTGTGCACACAGACAAAACTCAACACAAAATAGGGCCACCGTGAGCCACAGCGTGTCTCAAAACCAAAGTGCCTCAATCTATTTTAAATCTCGGTTACCAAAGACAGTTTATATAATCAAGCCGCACATCCCCCTCCCTAAAAGGCTTGTTGTTCTATAGAGAAAACTTTAAAATAGGCTTTCCAGCACTTAACATTGTTTTCTGAAGAAGGGAAGTTGATTTTTTAAAAAATAAGGAAAGGCTGATATTTGCCAAAATTTGAAAAGTTGACAGTTTCTCAAATCTGGAAACTGATCAACAGTCCCACTGCAGCAACCACCGCAATTACCCTCTGCATCAGTATTTATGGGAGCCATTCTGCACTATGGCTCCACCTTATTTTTCACTATGCACTTTGGTTTTTCTAGAAGACATTCGCCCTTAGGTTGTAAAACATTTTTTATTAATATGTACATATTATTTAGGCATACTTTATACCTTGTTTCCGAGTTAGTGTTTTTAGAACTACGTGAAATGCTCCCAACAGATATTTCCAAAAAGCAAAAATGTCCTCCGTTCAAGACGAATTCCAAATCCACACTATTTACAGAAAATGTCCTCTGAACCAGGAGAGCTAGTGGTAGGGAGGGACCTACTGCAAATTCAAGTATGCTCCTGCCCTGCAAATGCTTTCCTCCTTCTCTGCTCAATCCACCTC